AGATGATCGAAGGATGAACTATATTGTTGTCTTTTTGTAATCAAACATAGTTTTCTAAAATGATTTGTTGACCAAACTTAACCAAGTTCACTAAAGTTCATACTCTCTTTTTGACTATGCGTGATAGCGACAGCACAAGGTTGTTGCTACAGTTTCTTTCATTAGCATCTACAAAATGTACAGCTTTTCTTTTTTTGTAATTGTCAGATCGCGTGAATCAAGTAAATCGTTTGAATGTATATACTGTAAAATGAAATCTTCTTTTCTACGGTTACTTGTTTTATATACGAAAAATAACAAAAGTATCCGCCAAGAATATACGCAAGAATAATTTTACTTTATCATTATTATTATTATTATTAATTTTACTTTATTTGTAATTTCATTTTTACTTAAAGTGATATATGAAGAAGATTTCTTCATCTATTACTTTCCTTCTTTAGTTCAAAGTTTTCATGCATTATAATTGTTACTGTATATGACCTCTTCTGTAAGCGTTTTTATTCTTTTTTCGTAGATGCTAATCATATCTATGCATATTTTTTACCATCACCTTAGTAGTAGTTACTACAATTACCAACAGATTCTAAAGGTCACCAGCTACCGTAGTTGACCCAGTAAACTGGACACTGGAGAGGTGGAGACAGAAGAGAGGGGATGTGGAATTCAGTTGGCACAATGCCAAAGGGAGACAGGGAGGAGTCAGATGGATTTTAAGGAGCCTTAAATTGATTGTTTTCATTAATGTCCCCTTATTATGTGCTATGCTTTTCTGTTCAGCTGTTGTGCACCATTTATCTCCGCCAATTATCGAACTAAACCGTGTGTATTTTCTGTTTTTTCTGCTCATTTTTGTGCTACCATATTCAATACGTATTAATATTTGCTCAAACGTTCTCTTCCCTGTGACGTATAACAAATTTTTACTTGTTAAGGCGCTCTTAAATCTGCTGTCATAGACAATTAATTAATGTCGATGACTTCTGCTGTTTTTTCAGATGGTTTTACTCTGCAGCTCTCTCTGTGCCGGTCCAGCTTACAACGATGGCGGCTTCTTTCTCGTTCCCGAAATTCAACCTTCTACAAGTTACTTGAAACCGCAAGCAGAAACATTTGAAACATCGTTTTTAACAACAGAAAATAGCGAGGAAACTGAAGGTGCCTCAGGTTTTGACAAATTAGTGCTTACTGTTAGAGAAGGTAAGAGATTAACTTAGCAAACAGATTTTTTTTTTCAGAGTAAAAACAAAATTTACTTTTTTTCTTTATTTTCTTTCAAATCCAGAAAAACAAAAAAACATGGTTTTGGTGTAGCCAATGATAAAAGACTTGTACAGTTAAGATTTACACAGAACATTGGAGTAGAACGTACAAATAAATTTCAGGCAAAAGTGTTGATGAAGTTTCAAAAAAAGTTTCAAGTCGATTACGCCAAATAGCTGATGATTTCGATCGGACATATTTTAGTTCCAAAGTAAGCCCTTTGTACTGCTTTTTTGCTACAGTCTTGCTCATTTTTTTTCGCATCAATTGTTTTTCTAAAAAAAGTTTTTTGTTGAATTTGAGAGACTTTATTTCATAAACCTATACTATTTTCAGATGCAAGTTGAACAAACAAATCGTGTAAATTTAATACAGAAAATTGAACTACTGCTTCGATGGATGCTTTGGTGACAAACAATAGACAAAATTAAGATACCCTTACGTGATCTCATTAAACAATTAGTAATCGTATAAGTAGTGATTTGTTATTAGTAGGTACATGATATCTGTACAAATAATGCTGTATTACACGATTAATCGTGTCAAATAAATTAATTTATTAGCTTAATTTTTGTGAAAAATACATCATGATTAAATTTCACATGGTTACGTAATTTGATGACAATAGGTGTGAAGGTCTGTTTTCTGAGGTGAAGTGGCTGTACGAGTTTTTTTTGACTCCTAAATGGATTAAATAGTTAATACAGCAAAGAGGCTTTGATCACTGGACGTTCGCGTTCTAATAATGTTCCGGATTTGAGAATAATTGTTCTCTTGACAATAAACTTTCTGCTTTCCATTGTGATATTGATAGTTTAATCATTGGATGACATTATGAACACTTGTGAAGATTTTTTACAGTAATAGACCGGTCGCTTATTTGAAAAAAAAAAAAGGTGCATGAATGTTATTGCTTTTTTTTTTAGATGACAATAAATGCCAATATATTGCCAATATATTCAATTAAATGCCAATATATTCAATTAAAAGAATTACTGTAATACAAGTTAATCTGTTCAAATAAATCAAACCTACAGCTATATAATATAAACAATTAAAAGAAAGAAGAAAGAACAATTTGATACCGGAGAAATAGTTTGACAACGTTGATTTATAAGCGTTTTTACCAGTGGTCAGCTGAAGAAGTGAAAAATTAGTCAATCACACTTGACATTTCCTGTTGTGTTAGATTTTTTTGAAAAATTGAAGCGAAAGTAAACAGTTTAGTCTAACGTTTTCATCAGATAAGTTAATTTTTACACACTTTTTCTCTACTCTTACGGGATATCTTCAAAAGTAATAACGGCACTGTATGTGCCGTCTATTTCTGAAAAATTATATTATTTTATTGTCATTTATTCCTACTATTTTTTCGTCAATATTGCAAAAGACTAAGCCTAAAATTAAAGAGGCAAAAAAGAATTTAGTTTTATTACCACAAAAAAACTTTATAAAGCAAGTGAAATGTTATCTCATAAAACTTCAAAAAAGTTTACTTGATTACTATTATTATCAATAATATTTGGTTTTACCACATCTTTTTTTTTCTTGTTTACATCATCAGTGTTTCTTTGCGTGGTTTTTTTGAAATGCTAATCAAAGTGTATTAAACATTTGTGACATTTATCGATATTACGTAATTTATAATATTAATCAGTCAGTTTACCGTAATGTAGTGCCTTTTTTTTTGGATATATGTATAATTATGAGTGCACCAATCGTTTAAGTTCATTGACAAAAGTGCAAATTGCGGAAGTGAAAAAGAAAAAACAAGTGTACTTTTTTTTCAGCTTTTTAATCAAATCGCTCTCAACAAACGTTGTATTAACATGGTGAAGAAGTTCTAATTTGTGGTTATACGGTAAAGTCTATGGACCGACATTTAGACGAGTGTATTTTATGAGCATCAAATGAGTAACTGTCGTCTGAATATAAACCTTCAATACGTACAGTTTGAATAAAACTTTTCATAGGAAGCACCTATTTTTGAATTATTAAAAAAATATACAAGTTGAAAAAATGTCCAAAACAGCTTCTCCTCTTCTTCAGCTTTTCTGACCAATCTTTATTTTCTTTTGTAAACAAAAGAGAAAAATGAACGAGTATGTAAAAGTAAAAAATGCGCTAAATCGATGTTGAAATAAGGGCATTAGGTGCTAATTGGTTGTGTTGTTTGTTATTTTAGGGTTCAGCATTGATGTGAAGAGGAAGAGGAAGAGGAATTGTGAAGAACACCTGCAAAAAGTAAATTTTAGTTGTCAACACAGAAATTGTGCTAGCCACAAAGTATCGGATTACATAGTCACAGATCTGCAACAGGAGGGGGATTAGCAGCTGTTTCCATTGCAAACATACAACAAATATATACCAAACAACTACAGTCATATACCCAAACAATGAGCTACAAATCAGTTTAGTTGTCACATAAGCTGTCATTTTTACAAATAATTTGATTGTTGAATAGAAAAATAAAGATACATATTTTTTATCAAGCAAAAAAACGCTCATTTTTTGTCTGTTATACTGTATTTAAATGAACTTAAATATAACCAATGTTTGTTTTGGCAACAAGTACGCAGAAAACGTTACAAAACAAAAAGAAGTGGTCCTTTTTTTTAAAATACATAAAAATTTATTTGCTGGTAAAAGCAGTTCTGAAATATTTCTAGTATTATCAATTATAAATGAATAAGAAAGTAAATTTGTATTTAGGCGATAGAAATCTGCTGTTATGTTCTGTATGAAGGAACGTGTTGACTGTAGTTTTTTGTTACATTTTAGATTAAATTGAATGTTCCTCTCGCTTCCTTTTTTTTTTTCATCTTTTACAACCCATTCAAATTAAGTAATTCATTAATTAACTATTTTTTGTCGGTAAACACAATGTAAAAGGCTTACCGAGACGTAAAAAAAAATAAAGCAACAACATTTATGGCTTGAAAAATAAGCAACACAAAGGCTTATAGTATAATACCACTTGGGAATACCACTAAAGATGACGATCAGTGGTAGCGGTGTAGTTTTTTTTGTGGTCACTTAATTGGCGGTCACTAACAAAGAACTGATCTTCACTAATTATTTTAAGCATAAATAATTTTATATATCAATGACTGTTACCTTTAGTTTTCAGATCTCTTTAGCTATTCTAGCGATAAAACGAATTGAACATTGACTTTGATATGTGGCTGTATTACTGTAGAGAAAAGAATAAAAAAAATTTTATAGCTGCAAATCCGATAGAACCGGTTGAACGTCGACAAACCGTAAACGGATCTCAAAGACTTTATTCCGGTCAACATTTTTAGACAACAAAAGATTTTAGAAGTCCAATAACTGTCTTTATAGATCTGTCTAAATCCTTAAACTGTATTCTGGTATCATCCAATATTTCGCTGTTAATCTATATGCTTACAAACAGGACACCTGCCGTTCATAAATAAAATTACCGAAAAAAAAGATTATCAATGTCCAGAAATCCACTTATATACTTTTCATTAACTTCAATAGCTCTATTTTTGGAAAAAAAAATGGAGAAACAATAGTAAGCTATAAAGCTAATAAATCTTAAAATTTTATGTATAAATCAGATATAGCCGTTACATTATTATTTTTTTGTTGTTTTCTTTTTTGGTAAGCTTTTTTTTTTTTTATAAACGGTAGTTGTCAGTTAAATATTAATTAGATTTTTATTACTAAATGTTATATTCAAAGAAAAAACAAAAAAAAAGCTCGGTAAGAATTACTGCATGAAAAAAAGAATGACAATTATTGTTTAGAAAAAGATTTTTGGTTTGTTAAAACTGTAAAAATAACTTGAAAAAATTTTGTTGAAAAGTTTGTTGTTATTTGTTGAAACAAAATCGTTAAAATATTGAATGCTTAAAATATATATAAAATTTTCTAGTCAAGTATTTTTTTTTTGGAAAATTTTTTAAAATAATCAAGAAAAGAAAAATTTCAAGAGGCTACAAATCATTGCAGATATCAACGAATTTTAATTACATCGCTTTAGATCATCATCATCGTCAGTAGCAGTAGCAGCAGCAGTATTAACGGCTGTAAAGGCAGCAGTAACACATTGACAAATGAAGTGTTAACCATATCAAAACAGATTCGCTTCAGTAAACATCAAAATTTATTCAAGCATAGCTAATTAAGTTCATTTGCTTTAGCACAGAAAACTACTTGAAATGGTATTGTTGCCAAAATTTATTTTCATCTATTATTTTGCCCGTTTACAGATCCATGTCAAGTGTTTTTTACGCCACGTTTTTTTCCCTTCACTTCTTATTCCCCTCTTCTTCACTCATCTTACCTCTTTCCCAAGGTCATTTCAACACCTTTTTCGCATTTTAAGCTGTCCAGTTGATAAACTTAACAAGCAACACGATGCGCGCATTCTGCACTACACCAATTTTTTTACGTCAACAAATTGTACTTGTTTTTGTTTCAATAACATTACTAAGCACTTAAAAAATACCATTAACTGGCTTGTATTTGGCTTGTATTGCGTAATGTTGATGTATCAGTTTACCACATATTCAACAGTTGCAGCGTTGCACCATTTTTTCTTCTCTCTCAATTCTTTAAGTTCTAACGGAAAGAAAGAAGTAGAGGGAAAAGTATAAAAATAATAGACAATTAACAAAGGGGTATATTTTTGTAGGATTAAGTGTTATTAGATCTGTTAAAAAGCATATAAGTCTGTTAGAAACGTGAAATGCAGTAGTTAAACATTTATCGAGAAAGGCTGCTATTAAACATGTCCTTGAAACTACTAGGTTGTAATTATAGCTCATCCTTATCTGACAGCTGTTCGTTTATTCTATATTAACAATACTGAATTATTTCGGTTGAACAGTGGTTGGAAAAAATACTGGTGCCAAAACAATTGTGCTATGGTTATGGGTTATTCATTTATTTTGACACAAAGGTTGTTGCTTTCTGTACGGAAGTTCAGTGAAAATGAATACACTAAGGCAACAATTAGTTGAAAAATAAAGATTATCAACATTGAAAAACTACTTAGATGCAGTTTAGTGCAATTAACACATTGTTCATCATTTGTTCAGCGAACGGAAATCTTCAGTTTATATTCTATTCATAATGCCAATTTTGATACAGTATTGGCAGTTTTTTTTAGTATATCCTTCGATGGCAACTGCTGTTTCAATATAGTTCCGGTAGTTAACATTCAATGGAAATCTAAATTTAAAGTATGTTTATTTTATTATTTTCCGGTTTAGAAATAATAAATTTAAATTAAAAAAATCACTTTAATGGCGATCATTTGTTGTTTGTGTACAAGGTTTCCCCTAAATGCACGAAGCATATCGTCATCTTGATGTTAACCCATTTGTTAAACAGCCTCGCTGAGCAATAAGAGAGTTCCTGGATTCCCATTGGATTAG